CGAGTTGCGAAATTCGGTGATTTTTTTTACCTCTTTTCGCTCCTGCTTTTCTTTTCTTTCAGCATCACGTGCACGCTTCTTTTCTTTTTCCTCCTTATCTACCCGTGCTCGCCATTCCTTTTCGCGTGCACGCCTCTCCTCCTCACGGGCACGTCTTTTTTCCTGCAAAAATTTAAAAGAAATTTGACCATTTTTTCCATCAAAAAAAGCATAGCCGCCTAACGAAGTCTGTTTTTGGTATGAAATCTCCGACTTTACTAAGGTATTATCTAATTTCATAAATGCTTATGCTAAACCTTTTTGTAGGAAATTGATACAGTAAACATAAAACTGAACAACACTTACATGAGGTACCCGCACTGAAATCTCAAGAAGTTCTGGTATTCCTCATATACATTTGTATCCCAACTCTATGAATAAAGAGAGCCAATATTTGGGAGCACAGTATGCTCAACTCCTCCCCCTCCCCCTCTACCCTTCCCAAAAAAAAAGAAAAATCTTTTTAGGAGAAAAAAAAACAAATTATAACTTTAATTTTAGACGACGTGTGTTTATGTAAAAAGTAAGGGTTAAAAACGCCATGATCACCAACAGGCTGATAAGCAATGTGTAGCACCGGTCAAAATAATAGGAAAAGCTGCCAGCGCAAATTCAGGACCAGCCTATGGGATTTCAATTTTCTACATAAAAACAAGAATGCCCAGAAATGTCTGAACTGTTACGCTTTACCCAGGTGTTGATCAAGGACAACCTCTTTTCCTGCGCCCCTCCCCATTTCTCTTCACTCCCTCATTCCCATCTATCCTAGACGTTAAATACAGCAATAGCAATTTGTCATCAAAGCGAATATAACTTTCTTAACAATGAACTCTGACTACTGACCATAGGCGAATCCAGGCCGGTTTTTTGGAGAGGGGGAGAGGGGGTGATTGAGGCTTCTAGGGAGGGTTGGGGAGGATGCGAAAGAGAGTTTTCTTCAGTTTTAGCTTTAAACCCGGATTTTTGCAGCACTGGTACTCGTCGCCCCCCCAGTTCCTTCCCGCTCCCCTGGATCCGTTATGCTACTGACACTTTTCGTGACGAAGTGATTCAAAAGAACACCCTCACACCTCGTTTTCGTGTTTTTCACAAAAACACATGCTACCTCAATGCGTTTGTTTCTGTCTTCGTATTTCTTGATCACAAATTGAGTTAACGGTGTCTCCTGTATCGCATTTTCTGAAAATGCGACCATAGTTATCAAAAAAATTATTCATAAGACCAACAAAAAAAAAAGAGGAAGAAACAGCTAAATGTTTCAGAAATTTTAAAGATGCAAACAATGAATATCCCTGGCTAGGAGACTGGAAGAGGAAGATGGGCCTGAAATCTCACCAAGTGCTTCTGCCGATTATCCCTTGGGCTAACTTATCCTATAGCGGATGAAGCGAACATCAAAATCGGTGCAAGATAATGGCCAATTAACATACGATTTCCAGGGTAACGATCAAGCCGAGAGTAATGCTCGAGTAATTAACACAAGATTTTGCAAGGAATTCAAAAAAACTTACGCTCAGCCAGCTTTTCTTTTTGATCGATCTCATTGATAAGCTTATCAAATGATACTGGTTCGACCTCTGGCTCCTTGTTTCGTTCTTTCAGAAACATCTTATATTCGGTGTCTAAAACGAAGCCTTTAACAATTGCAACGGCTTTAAAGTAATGTGTTCCCGGGGCAAAGAAAAAAATTACCAGAATACACAAATAATAACATCAGCAAGAATACCAGGAACGCCTGGGCAAAGGAGTGGGCCTTTGAGAGAGAGAGAGAGAGAGATTCAAACTTTTACAGAGCTAAACCGCAGGAGTACCAGGAGCGCCCGAATAATCGTTATCCTTTCCTCTGTCCTATCCCCAAACCCTGCCTGCAGAGCCAACCATTATCACCTCAGTAGCTCCTTGTTTCATCCATCTATCTTGCCTTAATCCGTGCTCCTCAGCTGTATCCGGGCACCTACCAACCAACTCCCCACTCAAGATGTAATTAGGACAAAAAAGTAAACTGAATCAAAAACAAACCTGACTCAATGGTACCACAGTAATCGTCCTGTTTTTTTGAGTCTTCTATTCTATCACGTGGAATCTTTTGGTTCAACGCAAGTTCAACGACACCAACAGATTCATTGCCTAAATAAAAGTATTATATTGCGAGCAAACATATACCAAAAAATACAACATTTTTGAGCAATGCGTTTTTTAGGGAATGTTCCCCATACTCCGTTTTTTTTTTTTTAATCAACACTCACATACACCCGGGTCTTTCAGTGAATTATTAACAGGAGGAAAATGCATGTGAGTAATCACGGTTACCTTTGTTGTCCACAAAAACATAGCCATGAAAACGCTCTTTGAACGGGACGATTTCATCTTCGTTTTTGAAAGCAAAATATGCTTGTGCAAACGAAACCGGTCCACTGAAATTTTTTTTTTTTTTACAAAACACATTACGTATGACTATCTGGATCACTGACGACCAAAGATTATTCGTCCCCCCCTCCCCCTCCCCCATGCAAAATTTACTGTAATTGTGCATGCTGTAGGTCAAGATTTCACGCAATCCCTTGAATGAGGCACTTTGCTGCTCCAGTCAACGCCCTTTTCCTCCGCGTACAAAAAAAAGGCGGAAGAGGAGAGATAAAAGGGAAGGCCTAACAGAAAGGTAAAAAATATTCCAGGAATATTAGGACCAATAAAGCTATTAGTAGGGGTATCCCATGTTAGTGATGAAATTCTGGTGAACATAAGCCAGGGAAATAAGTAAGCCTGTCATATTCGGGATGCATTTTTTTACATTTTTGCAAGACATGGGATAAATATTTCTTTTGTTTTATAACTATTATAATGGCGTTAAGTGGCGAATATTATATGTCCCACGGGTATTCATGCACCATCCACTCAATTTATTGTTATACCAAATCCCAAAAACAGCTTTTTTTTTCAAATATCTAATTCAAAATAGCAAAAAAAGAACCCCGGTCGAGCAGAAATGAATTCGAAAAACTCCAATTCTGGTAGAGGAGCTAGCTGTGTTTCGAGCTGTTCTCGTGTCATCGCTGCTGGCAATCGACGTAAAACGATCTGAAAAAAAAAAAAAATTCCTGTACTATTCGGCGAAAATATGTATTAATCGGCGAAAACAATCTCTTAAAAAGCCAAATTTTTAACTTAAATTTCTGCTAAAAACCTAAAAATTCTACTTTTCTAACTTTTTTTAAAGTAATAAAGTGCTTGAATCGGTTTAGAAGTTTTAAAAGTGCTAAATTTATTGCTTTGATCAGCTGCTATACTTATAGCTTGTTTTTTTTTTTTTTTCAACTATCCAACAGTAGAGCTTTCCCCGTCGCTTTGGCTAAATACTAGGTTACCCG